AGCATGCAAATTCTCCTTAAGTTTTGAAAAACAACAAATGAAAATATGTCATTTTGCGTGAAAGTTCATTTTACAGAATTAATATACTGGAAGTAACACTTTCAAATATGTATAACGTTTTCTTTTAAATTAATAACGGAATGGGACATTACGTGATTACATGTACCCATTAGTTATAAGTTGTGTGGAAATCTGATTATTTCGAATTGAACTCAATATATTATTCATATTAATGTCAGGAAACAAAGTAAAGGCAGTGACTGATATTGTAGCATTATTGACTACAAAAAAAAATGTTCAAATAATTAAAACCCGAAAGGGAGCACGCCCTAGCTCAAAGAAAAATAATGCTCCTAACAATTAACACAAGTTAACAGACAACAATTTTGAAGACTGCATTTTATAAATGATAATAATATCTTGGTTTACGATTTCAAAATATAATGGAACCAGTATCCAGTTACCACACATAATGGCATCTTGCCTACGCCTATCAGTCGAGGTACATTCCCGATTGCTCTAAATCAACACTCAAGCAAAGGTATGCGTTGGTCCTTGACCCTGATTGCGGATTCCATCCCATAATGATAGACAACAGTTGGGCAACATTAGTGGAATACTGAAATCAATCACTCGACATTTAGATAATGCCTGGAGATAGCTTCATCCCTAATCGCATTCGTGATGGCCTCTTTGAAAGTGAAGGTTTCTGTGTTAATAGGTAGATGGTTTGCGTTAGATTAAGCTTTCTTCAGAATCAGACATGAAAAGTTATAGTAATCCCCAGCTTCGTTATATATAAATTTCGTGAACTTCGATAATAGCCCTCACATAAATATATGAGGCGTCAGAGGCAATTGCGAGAGTTAGTGTAGATTTAATTTGATATATTTTTGTACTGAATCTGGTTCTTTTGCAACAAAAAAGGGTTCCAGTAAAACAGACATAAATATAAAGTGGTAATTTAAACAGAATGTGTATCCGTCTTTGAGTACATACCTCTTTGATTTGAACATTAGATTTCTTTTATTTTACAATGATCTTAAATACGTCTGCTCATCAGTGATGCTATCATAAAGTAAAGTTTTAAATGATGTTAAAACACATGCCATGTTTACATCATAAACATTTAACATGACTCTAAAACTAATGTATTTACATAATGTTTCAGTAAATAAAACACTATTCCACTTGAGTATTTTTGCGCCCTCGTGTGCCTGTAATACAGTTTGCGGTAGCTTTGGTGGCACTTTATCTGATGTGTATGAAAATAAGCGATCGTGAGAAGACTAAAAACAATCCGATGTGTTTTGGGCAATCACGTTGATGATTATATGGAGCCAAGTTATATTGGCCCGTGAAGTTACTACCTGTTCTGTTTTGAAATCTTTTCAACACATGAAAACAGAAAATTATTATTATGGCAGGTGCGCGTATTCCTGATATTGAACACGCTAGCATCCAACTCATATATTTAGCAAAACACTTAGTGACCACTTTTACGAGGAGACGTTTGATACGGGCTTTGTTTATCTCTTCGCATTAATAGATCATGAACTCAACTTGCGTATTCAGATGTTGTCCTCTGATAGCACTGAAAGGTTAGACATGGGTTTGATTTATTCTGTGTGGTATATACAAATATTTCAGGCTTGTACATGACGAATGGCAAAATATTGTCAACATATTTTATTCATTGTCTTGTCGCGATTGTTCAATATATCAGATTCTTAGAACACGCTAAAGATTATTATTTTTATCACGAAAGACTAGACAAGGTTGACCCAATTGCTCAGTATGTTACCAACGGGTTATCTAGATTATAGATTATACAGAATAAAGACAAGTTCTGTTATAATAACATTAGCGCAGAACATATCCTTTTTTTACCCCAATTATGCATACGTCATTTCTAGCACCGACATTCTTAGATTTAAAACTGTAGAAGAGCGCGGCTGTGCATCGAGCAAACCACAAGTTATACGCCCTTGCAACTATGTATACTTGACTAGGTATAGTCGCCAGACAATGTAAACATTTCTTTAATAGAATTGTTTCTACAGTGGTAATCAGAGACTGCGGTTTACAAGGATTTGATATGCTCTCTTTATCAGAAATTTTCAAAGAATTTCGGTATTGTACTTGCTAATGAACTAAGTTGACCTCCTGTCAGCAGCTGTTTGGGTACATTTACCGCTGGTATCAAATATAATGGATGTAGAGAGGTATAGAACAGCTTCATAACACATATCTGCCGCCATAGGTACATGGAGACTAAACTAATTATAAACATTGGCTAGTATGTTTCCATAGTATTACTTTTCAAAAACATGTACCAAAGTGTATTGTGTATATGATATTCCTAAGACTGACACAAAATGTAACCGTTTCGTTTGATGTCCTTGCGGCGGGAATTAAACTTAAATAAAGGAACTTTATCAACATAAGTCCAAACAAATTAAGATAGCACACGTAAAATTTATAAAAGTCTAATTTATTAACGCAAGCATATATACGATAAATATATTAGGTGAACAGCAGGAAAGAAAGTAATGTAAAAACAATATCTACAAGTTCCCTCTTAAGTGGATATGCATTTCTATGAATGATTGATGTTCTTGTTCTGTGTATATATATATTGTAGCGTGTTAAGCAGCGGTGCTTCAAATGTTAATTTATCATATGCAACAAGACAAGATGTAAAAACAATTCATCCCATATGATAGATATCTGTAAGTTCATTGACTACACTCTATTCTGAGAACCTTGAACGAATCTTAAATTACGAGTCTCTGTTGAAAATATCATTTATGTAGACAAAGAACTATATACAAATAATTTTACACAAACATAACTATCACTAAAAATATTTATGTATCTGTAATTAGGACGCTGCTCAAAGTCCATCGCTTAAGTCTTGTATCATTACAAGTAAACAACAATCATGTACATTTACCAATGTGTATTTTGGCATGAGCATATTATCAGGTATAATAGAAACATACAACATCGAACAAGAGCCGTGAGCTATGTAACACATACCGCGTCAACAAGGCTCCGACAATTGTGTTTGTAAACAATGCCGTATTATGAAAGCATTACATCAATATTATTAAAAACACTCCGTCGAACATACTAACAAGTAACGTTCTACATGTCTACTTCAGCCTGACGTTGGTGATACAGGCATTTAAACCCTTACCTGATTGTTATTATTTACTTCTGATATATTGTGTCCTGCAGATTTATATTTTATTAACAATTACTCAGCATATGATTTTGTAAAAAGGGTATCAAGGCATCAGGTATAATCATGAAGAAGAATGCCGCTACAAAACTACCAATCAGACTACAAGAGCATCCCTCTGAACACAGTCATAATGTGCCTGATGCATAGCTTGAGATTGATACATGATAAACAGTTAATTGAAAGAATATATGGGGGATACAATAATTTAGCGCATCCAGGTTAGCATTATTAAATATTATTCAAGAATGCAACTACCACTAAAACAATAAGAGATATCAATCAAACCAGTTCTGAATGCGATGTTTTCCTAGCCCCTTCAAAAGCTCTCACAAAACATTACACAATATATAGAACCTATGTACAGTATGTGCCAGGACGAAAATATTCAACAAACCTTTGTTTCAAGTGTTTACACATTTCTATTGAAATTTTAAACAATTATTCAACCAACATACATCCTGTCATTAATTGCTTTGATCTTAAACATACAGAATTCCTGTACAATATAACAGCTTTGAAGCTGGGACATTTGTGTAGATTATGCCCCAAATATTTACATGGTTTCGTCTAGAGTCGTTAAGCTGTCATGGTTATGTTCTAAAGGGATGATTGATATGTACAAATGAAGCTTTGCTCCTAAAACATTAATAACGCATTCCGTGTAAGCAGTTTATTAGATTAAGCTGATTTGTATAAACATTGCTACAGTACCGGAAGTAGGAGTACAACGATTATCGTAACCTTTATTCTACTTCCATTATAATACAAAATAATTGTTTGGTTGCTGTCTTAGTTCCCTTTCACTTTTGTTATTTCCAACACAATATTCATTATTAAGCAGCTCTTTGACGCCACACATGATCGCTACCATTCATAGTAATTTGTGTCAGGGAAATAATATGAACCCATATGACATCACTATACTTCGGTGTATCGTGTTTTTCCCTAAAAAGTTCATTCATTCAATAATGACACATATTACTGCACCCCAATCTATAGATAAATGTCAAACCGTCTTAAGTACGCTAGTATTTATCTCCAAGTCAAGTTGATCAAAGTCCTACAACACCATACAGATCAGGGTTGCAATTAAAACATGTATCTGAAAGTCACAATTGTTTACATCCTCATCAACAGATCAAGGTCAAAACCTATCCCGCTATCATATCAATGTCAAGGTCACACGTCCTACATATATATGTGTTTATATTCATATGCATCTAACATGAAAATGAAGTTTGTTGCATTGTTTTTTATTGATATTTGATCATCTTATTGATCGATTCGATTTATCGATGAAATAAATCATTCCTTGATTGATTGAATTATTTGGCTGTAGTAAACATGACATTTTACAGACATCTTCTGTTGATAAGTGAGATATAAAAAGAAGAGAATTAATAGAAGTATACTCCCTAAGTTGTAACTTTTCTGTTCTATTTAATCCAGTGCAAAAAGTATTGTCCGTTTTAAATTTATAATCAATTGAAATTTTTAAATATATAAAAAATAAATTCTTGGTAAGATGTGTGCTTATTTTTTAATTATAAATGTCATGTAACGTAAATTGATAAGTATCTGCTTTGGTGTCGTACATGTTGAAATTATTGTGCTTTCTTACATGAGCATCATATTCTACACGAATCTAACAAGTCATCATACTGTAAATTTGAACAAAGTCGTCCTTACGGAAACCTTATATTCGTTCACATTCCAACTATAGCTTTACATTTATTTTTTGTATTTTCAGATTACACATTATGGCCGTTCTGGGTTGACAGGAAAGTAAATGTGGAACCACCTTTCAACAGAACTCCGTGAGTACCTGTTGATTACTGAGTGTTTGTGTAGACGCCCTCATTAACAATACATCAAAAATGTTTTGTAGATGAAGTTACATTATGGTGTCTGTTTGTATGGACACCGTTATTTCACAGAACTCTACAGACACCTAAACACGAGTGAATATGGAAATGAAATGTCGCCTAGAGCACAGCCTTCCACAGACAAATACAAGTACCAAAGTTCCCACTGAACTGTATAAGTCTATAACAAAGTCAGATCCAAAGACCTGCAAAAGTGTGTTTATCTGATACCAGATTCCAACCTATCGCCAGATGTACCCAAGCTTGATAGTTATGTATGTGTTATCTAGAACTTAGCCTTCTACAGATCTATAAAAGTAACTACCCGAAATTGATAGTAGAACATTCACGTGTGCTTCTCTTGAACCAAACTCCCATAGATTAAGTAACCGAGCGTGGTAGTTTATATTTGTGTTAATTTATTTATGCAATGAGTTCTCAAAAATAACGAAACGCAATACCTGGAATTGGTTGTTAAAAAAACAGTAGCATGTGTTTACCTCGAACTAACCTCCCAAAAAACAGTGTAAGTACTGAGCGTGGAAGTAGTATGTATATTGTAGAGTGTTTGTACAATTCCCGATACCTTCACTATACAATTATATCATGTAAACAACTCACAACTGATGATAAGATACCTTCGTTGGGAATGGTCAATGGGAAGATATGTTCTTTGTTAAGTTAACGACGCGACCGAAAATATTTTCGTTGAACATTTGGGTCACTGACGTTTATGTGATTAGATGTTCACATCGCCAGAACATGACACTGTATTGAGAGTGTTTATAAATAATTATTTAGAACCAAAAAATGGAATAATAATTTATCTGTAGTTCATGGTCACCAAATCTGTTTTACTTGAATATATTTGATTTTGTTTCAGAGACGGTAAAGTATTTGATGCACGCAGCAGAGAGGTTCATTCTTTCCCTGATATAGAGCACATCCTCAAGAAGCTGAAAAACGACAAATTCAAGTTGGCAATTGCCTCAGAGTAAGTTACATTTTTCCTCAAAAGAAAATTAAATTCAAAACCTTTTTAGTAAATGAGCAAGAAAAATGTTTTTCTGATAAGGATAAAGGTTCACATAAAGAAATTATACCATACTTATAACGATATCTATTAATTCGAAGGTTGATTGACATTAGCGGACAGAACAATAACAATAATACTTTTCTTATCAATTTACTTGAATTCATGTTTTATTCTTCTCGCGTGACAATCTGAAAAGATTAGTCAACTTAGTGGAGTGTCAAGGTAGTAGCTAAAGTTATGACGTGAACACAACAATACGTAATTCTGTTTATTTACCATCTTTTGCATTTTGCTTCTGCTTTGGTATTCACAAGTAGGAACAAAACTAGTGTTTGGTGTCACAAGAATTCAATTATGTTTGTAATATATCTTTTGTGTTTCTTTATATACAGAGCTTTCAATAAAGAAGAGGTCCGGAGACTTGTTTCCTACTTTGGGTGGGATGTTTATTTTGATCACATGGAAGTTTATCCGGGGTCCAAGATTACTCACCTTCTCACGTAAGTGGTATCTTTAGTCAACATACCTCGTTCATCACCTCGCTGATTACAACGTCGGGCAGAAATGGCAGGTAGAGGAACGTATGGTGGCGAAAAGTCATCAACATTACACCCAGGTCAAATAGTTTAGATCTGTACACCGATCTAGCTTTCATTATTCTTCTCGCATTTTTTCATACAGAACTCGTTTATTTAGATGTGTAATGTTGCGGGCTTTCCAGCATTTCATACGCTCTGGGAATAGTTTCAGGGTGATAGAATATCCATACCTTTCAATACGGTCCATATTAGGATATAGCTTTACAAATCAGTAAGTCGAAGCAGTAGACTGATATTGTTTACAGATATTTGAATGGTATGTTTGAAATGTAGAATATTTTATTGTATACTTGTTGCTTTTGCATTACCGCAGAGATAATCATTCAAATGTGTAAATAAACTTGAGTATCCATGTCCTACTAAGATGTCTAATAGTTAAAATAAATGGGAAAGCACGATGTGTTCCGAGGTGCACACATGTTTGATAGAACTATGGTTATATTGAACTTTTGAATATTATTTTGAATTAAATTTTCAATCCCTGTTCATTCAGAATCAAGAAAGAGAGCGGGGTGGATTTTCCTGACATGATGTTCTTTGATGACGAGAGGGATCATCTTTCAGAAGTGGCACACACGTGTTTAGGTAAGTATATATACCATTATCCCTTCAGGTAACACAAATGTTTAGATAGGTGCACATACCATTATCCCTTTAGGTAACACACGTGTTATTTTAGGTGTATATACCATTATCCCTTCAGATAAAGTCTTTAGAAAGGTGTATATACCATTATCCCTTTAGGTTACACACGTGTTTAGGGAGGTGTATACACCATTACCCCTTCAGTTAGCACACGTGTTTAGGTAAATGCATACACCATTATCCCTTCAGGTAACACCCATGTGTAGATAGCTGTTTATACCAGTATCCCTTCATGAAACACATGTGCTTAGATAGGTGTATACACCATTATCCCTTCAGGTTACACACGTGTTTAGGTAAATGTATACACCAGTATCCATTCAGGTTACACACGTGTTTAGGTAAATGTATACACCATTACCCCTTCAGGTTACACTCGTGTTTAGGTAAATGTATATACCATTACCCCTTCAGGTAACACACGTGTTTAGGTAAATGTATACACCATTACCCCTTCAGATTTTAACATTTTCTCTGGTTATTCTCTCTTTCGAGACTCTTTGTACGACTCATTTTCTCAAAGATTGTAACAATTCATGCAAAGAAGGAAGATTAAAGCTGAAGGAAAGTTTAATTGCTCGTTTATATCGAGTCAGTGTAATTGCACCAGCAAACCTCGGATCAACCTACCATTATTCTTCTGGTACATGAGACATCCAACTTTTATCATGCAGTTATGTTAAAATTCATAGCTTGTTTTTTGGTTTACCTTCGAAACTGGAATTTTAAGCTTTTAATTTTGAGGCTTTTTTATTTCATTCTCAGGTGTGACATGTATTTGGGCAAATCGTGGAGTGTCAGAAGAAATATTGGAAGAGGGATTCAAGGCCTTCTCAAACAACCACATTAGCAACGCTAACAACAATAACAACAACATGCTTCACTCCAGTACAAGCTCTCTCAACAGCAACGACTCCGAGGAGTCCCAGAGTGAAACAACTGTGTTCTACGTACACAAAAGGCGCGGGTCACGTGCCTCAATTACATACGATACTCCTCCAGTTATTGACAGGGCTGTGCGCCTCCGCGGTAGAAGAATGTCCGCCCCAGCGTTATCAATTCCCAAATTGGATACCAAAAAGCTTCTGGCGTGTCAAGAAATAAACGAAAACTAAATATTATACATTAAGCTGAAAGATTTTGTCATGTCCTTAAAATAGGGAAAACAAGCTTTACAATAGTCACGTGACATTGTGATAATGAGGTTGACTCGTAAAATGTCCTCGTTTAAATCGAGTATTTATACGTGTATCTAGTGGAAAAAATGTTTGTTATGACAGAAATCAAGACCGGATTTTGACGTGAAAAGTGTGCTTAGAGATGTGACATTTTTGAAAGGGATGAATTTGCGCACAAATTGGATGAAAGTGCGATGAAATATTTGTAATACACATATGGATAATCAAATTTTGAAATTTTGATTTTAATAGAACATGGGGTAAATAGAGTATACAGGAGCATGCAGACTCACTACCGAATCATGAACGACACCACGTAAAAACTCACTGCGTTGTCTGAACAGATGCAACGATGTAATTGGACGATTTAAGTAGGTGTTTAACAGACGATAGATCTATGAAGAGGCGACATCCCGCCCATCACGTGATCATAATACAGCATCTGGAGCTGAGCAGGTGCATGTGTTTGTATTGAGGAGAGTGAAGTACGTCTACAGTGCCACATTCACAGCGTAATTGTCTGAAGATGAAAAGAATCTTGAATGAGCGGGGAGGATAAGAGATGAATAAATAATACAACATTTGTTCACAAAAAAATACGTCCGTTGACTTTGGGATGAAAGAAGTATCTAAATGGATACAAACATAAGTTGAGGGTTTACATGTGTAAGGTAAGCGTGATGTTAAGATTATACAAAGTTTGTGGGGAATTACTTTAATAACACAGAATGCTATAACTCCCTTTCAAGTTTATAGTAATGATTCTTAGCCTAATTTCTAAACATAACAATGTCGACACGCTATATGTAATGGGTATTAGGAGCGATTTATGTGGCGTCGTCCTTTAGTATTACGCCAGAATGTATAATGTGTTCAATTGAGGAAAACTTTACGTTAATCGAAATCCCAACAAATGCCATTCCTTGCATTTCTATACAGGATAAAGATATGTGTACAGAATTAGCAACAGAAACTAACAAACAAAGAGAAAGAAAGAAAGAGCGAGTATGAGGTGAGAGAACGGAAGGGTTTATGGAGTTTTGTGGGGAATGGAAATTAGGTACATGTATAGTGCTAGTTTTTGGGAGAGAAAGTCAGTATTGCAGCTACTTTTCTTTGAGAACAATGAAGTATTAGAGCATTATTGGTGAGAGAGTAAGGCATTATGTAAGGTAGTATTAAGAGAGATAAACAGTATTGGAGCTAGCAATGGGCTTAAAATGCAGAATTTGATAATTGCTAGGTACGGAAGGAAGAAAAGCTGTATAAGAGCTAGTAAAAGATTGCAAAAGCAGTATTTGAGCTAACATTGGGAGAGAGGAAGGCATGATTGATGCTAGTTTTGAAAGGGGAGAAAGGTGTGAGTGTTGGTAGTAGTAATGCGAGATTTGTGCAAGTTTTAGGAGGGAGGGAGAAATGCAGTATATATCTTACGTACTATAATGTGCAACACAGCGGGGGAGAGTGCAGAGAGTATGTACGAGATCTTGGCGTGAGATTCAACTTATCTTTCCTATCAGGATACGAATGGAGGATGAGGGAGAAGGATAGTTCCTAAGCTTTGTAGTGTTTTAACGCAATCAACATTACCTTGATATTAATTGATTTTAGTCTTTCATGTAGATATGATCTTATGTATTACATGTTTTAATTGCATGTAGAGGTTTCGTAAACGCTCGCTCTGTAAGTGTGTAAGAATGTATGAAGATACGGCTAAATATCAGCAAATGGTTGTGTTTATATCTTACATAGAAATATTCAGGCGATGATGAATATGTGTTTTTGCCATTCTCGATCGAGAAAATATTAACCCATTCAAACGAATATTGTATGACACCTACTTTTTCATTAGTGTTTATATTTGTCAAATGTTTTACAAATATCTTAAAACAACGTGTACACAACGTTTTAATATATTGCATTTTGAAAGAAACGTGCATTTTAGAAACAAAATTCATATCATGACTTTTTTTGCCATTATTCCCCCACATGACGAGGTAAAAGTTTTACCCACAAATATTTATTGTCTTTTGTGCTCTTATACATACACCTAAAATTGTTATTGCAATTGTCACAAATAATCAAAATATAATGATCATATTCGTTTTTTTCATTTTGAAAACTGCAGAAAAGAAAATAAGAATAAGTACATTGTGAATTTCTGTAAAAGTATCAGGTATATAAATGCGAATTGAATAGACAGGTTTAAATTATTTTGAATTCACAAGTACAGTTGAAAATGTTTTTATTTCGTGATTTTCATATAATGGCATGTTTGGTAATATTTCCCGATTGATGTTATCCTGCACGTGCACGGCCACACGTGCAAGGTCACACGTGTACCGCCACACGTGCACGACCCCTCTCCCATGTCTCACCTTACAATGTTGTACTGTAATTATGTTCATACTTTATGACGTATAGATTGTGATAAATTTCGTAGCAGTGTTATATAAGTGAGTAGACATATAGTTATTATATATATATGATATATGATGTAAACGTAGATGTTTATTTGTATATATACGGTTCCTGACGAATTGTACATATTAGTTTATAAACGAAAGATTATGAATATTCATAAGAGCTGAGTATGTAAATTATAGTGCTGAATATGTAAATGATCGTCCACTGTGCAGACTAGTCTACGCCATGGTGGTAAGATGATTGGTTCGGGTTTACAGAGGTAGAAAAATAAAATTTGTAAATTCAACCGCCTCTTTGTTTTCCCTAGACAGCAAGTGACCTGTTTCACTAACGCATGGAAATCCCTTCACACAAGATTTTCTAAAGGAAATCATTAGTGAAGTTTCTTAAAGAATTTTGAAATTCAATATTGCTTATCTTATCTAGAAAAACGTGATAAGAATTTCTGTTTTATTAAGGAACTTTCGGGAAACTGAGGATATGCAGGAAAAGACTCTGATCCAATTGGAGGTAAAAAATACCTAGATCAATTGTCGACATTCTTTTCAAAGTATGTAGGGTAATATCAGAATACCTCACAAATAACGGGAGAAGTAAAACAGCTGTCTCAGAAGGAGAAGCGTCTTCTGAGCCACAAATGACATCCAACATGATGCAAACGTTTCCTCCCAAATCCAGAAAATCAGATCGGTCCAACAAATGACGTTCTCTAAACACAAGTTCCAATACGGTACAGTTCCTACAGCGGACGCGAGCTTAATTTTGATGGTAATGATTAATTGTTTATAGCTACGACCGAATTAAAAGTATCGAAATTACAATGAGCGATTAAATTTAGATATTTTTGTAGTAGTTCATTATGCATTATTAATCTAGTAAATGGTAGGATATCCTCTGTCTGAAAGGAGGGTCAACGTTAATGCTTTAGTAGGCCCTAACTGATCAGCTTGATTAATAAAAAAAAGAATCTAGAATTGCTTAATCACGACATGAGTTTTCATTCTTTTATCAATTAGTCCCTGCAGAGAAAAAATGAAGCAGTGAAGTAGAAAATAAACACAAAACATGGCATTTAGTTGGTTTTCATGATAAGAGAAAACCAGGATATTTTCACTTTTAAAATATTACTTTGTAGTTACAATTATATGCATTCTGATTGCTAATATACCCCAAATGAACCCTAATTATCTAAGTTTTTCACCGCTATCAAGTCCAAATGACCACAATAAGACCAAGGCTCTCCGCTACTTTTGCTATTCATTTGGGGTATGTAGGTTGTATAGCACAAGGCTCTCCACTTTCTGAATTTCTTTTTAGGTATTTAAAAATGCAGTTTAAAACTTTACCAATTGAACTTGAAATGTTGAAATGCACATTATTAGATAGGATAAATACAGAGATATTCATACACATTGATTAATCCCAAAAGGAAATCCCATTTCATCATGCTTTGCATCGTAAAACTAAATTTCTGCAAAAAGACAAACTTATCCATTGTGGTCTGCTGAAGCATTAAAGTATGCAGCTTTACTTGATAAGATAAAAAAAAATGTCCGTTACACATGATTGCTATCACGGGTCTGGAAACGCATAGATATGCCGCCGCATGGACCGTGTTTGACGTTAGCGTGAGTGTTTTTATCCCACTCCTGCATCAACGCTTGTGTGAGATCATAAAAGTTACAAGACTGATTTTGGTGGCGTCGAACTTATTTCTCAATGACATTGTAAACGTGTTTTATGAATGACAGCTTTTAAGACTGTGCAGACCAGTCTAGTTTTTGGGCATTGTTGTGCCTAGGAAATTTCGTGCCAGCGCCACTGGTTGGTGTCAAGGGTTGAGTTGTCATGTTGGAAAATGGCGCCTGCTGCATGACACTGCAAAAATAGGTCCAACAACACCGAAATGAGCACGATCGTGATCGCAACAGCCTGTTAAACTTCCTCTTGATATCGGTTTTGCCACATTATATGCTTTACATGGATGAAACAAAAGTCTGAGAACAGGACGGGATGACATTATCGTAACAACCATCGGCGGTGTCCTTCCGCCAAATTAAGTGATTAACTCGATGACGTCATATCAAAACGGAACCCGTAAAAGGCCATTGCGTTTTAGCGACTGAATTGTAAATGATTGCGTATGGTATGGTAACTTAAACGGCGATCAAACCTCCACGTTATTGTTGTTACCTTTGATACATTGCAATTCGTATCATTTTTATGTCAATATATTTAATGACATTTTTCCAGCGACCGATCTGCTATAATTTAAATAAAAAAATGGAACAATTACATCCACAAAATATCACCCGTGCAAAGAATCTGGATTCATATTTACGTTTATGTATTTAAACAGCTTTATTTTGTTGTTGTTGTATAGTGGTAAAATCATCAGACGGTCATAGGTTGTATTGTGTGTACATTCGGTCATTGATTCGCATGGAATTAACATTGCTCTAACAATTGCCGGGGCTTTCAATGACAAGACGAGGCTGGTCATTCTATTTACCTTGTTGACGAAAGCACCTATAGCAGATGCGATGATAGGCGTCAATCTTTAAACGTGTTGTTTCAGAAAACATTATTAGGCGAGTCACAAACATGCCAGTGGTATGTAAACGGAAGCCGACAAACGTGCATAATGTTCAATACGAAGATCCGTTCAATACTCGAGAATTCCGGAATGTACCACATATGTCGAATTCCTCATGAAATGAACCTCTTGATCTGTTATTGGACTGGAATTGCTCTTCGACCTTGAAATGCATATCCCCATCAGTCTTGTTTACAAAAAGAGAACCATGTGTACCATAACACCCGCTGGCATGGAAGGGCGAGAAATAGATCGACCGGACTCAGGAATGCTTCTGTTGTAGTTTTCATCTGAGGTTAAATGTTTTCTTAGTCTGATCCTTTTAATCATTTGACCGACCTGGAAAAGGATAGTATAATTCATCTATCAAATTATTTCAAATATCGTAATCGTAATAATAATCAGCTAAGTGCATAGGGTGATAACTTGAGTATTGAAGATAGGAAATCAGAAAAGTATGAAAACAATGACCCCTGTCTTGTAATCTAACAGAGCTTTAAGACTTCCGCCACTGATAGACAACCACGTGTTGATGTAGGGTACGCTGTGCATACTATTTATCAGAATCAATTGACTTAACAGACACAGACTTGGACCTAACCGGAGGGCGATACAGAACAAACATTTCTAGTATTTATTTATAAATTCTGAAATTATTTTAACGAGAAATCGGTTACGGATTCAGAATCTAGGATGTGTTACTCTACTTTATAAAATATTTTATATGGAATCTCGCTTGGTGCAAAAATGTTGACCTACATTTTTTAGACCCAAACATCTTTAATCTGTTTTCCTTTAAAATAAATTGAAAATAAGTCGGTTAGTAGTTCAATGTGTTTTTATGACCTAAGTTAAACAAAACGGCTTACAGATAAAAGCAACGGAAAGCGACTCTGACTTTTTTGGCGTAATTCTCTGTTTAATTTCCTTTATCAAACAGTTAATGGTTTGTATCCTGGTTATGTTGTTCGTAGACTATAGCGTTATATTTAACACAATCAGCATGTAGACAAAACTGTTGCAGTAGTTCAAGGATATTGGAATCCAGCAATAATAAAAAATAAAACTGAAGACCATATTTCTTGCTGTTGTATATAGTGTATACTTACCAACTGCTGCGAACAAAAGATTACGAAACATTCTTCAGATAAGAAACACCAAAAGCTCAATAAAAGTTTTTAAAATGCCTTTATCGCCATATCATACGGCGAACTCTGCTGAGTTTGTTTACAAACTCAGTTCAGCACTGTTTACAATTTTGAATATGGTCAGTCGGTCAAAATTATGTTTATAGGTCATGGTCCGTGGTACCTTGTAAAACCATTTCACGCCACCTCAGAGTTCAATTCTTATCTCGCGCTCTGTTTCAAAATACATTTCCCATCACCTCGGTATGTAAATATGAATTTAACGCGAGACTAAGCAAGTGTTAGTTGTTAATCTAACGATCTGACTGACACAGACATGGCAGAAACAAAGGTACGGAATGTTGTCCGAACAACCGGTAACTAGTATATGCCCATCATTATTTGACCAAGCAGTGCATATAGTGCAGTCCGAGTTGTTCCGATATATATCTATCACATCCAGACACTTCGGAATGCTTGACTCATCGGTCGAATGAAAAAAACAAGAAATTAAGAGATTAGTGCCCTTGAGGGATTCTTGTCAAGTATTTCGGCCGGTCAACGAGAATACCTCGAGTAAAACATTCACATGAAATGCAGGGAATGCAGAAACATTATTGATGAGATAGGCAAAGAAAATGCTTGACCAATGGTCAACGGTTTCCGTGATTTGGGTTAGAGGATAACGTGTGAAACATGCAATTAACACGTATATCAATGCTCGTTGTAGATATGTTAAACGTTCTCAATTCAAATAATATTCAAGAGGAAATGAAATGTAAGCGTTAATAATAAGTTAGACCTATTGCTATTTAAGCTGATAAACTATTTTTTTATTTATTTTTTATTCTTAGAAGTTTTTCAACAGTACATTATAAACATAACACATTATATTTCAGCCACACATTCTTAATTTTCACACAATTTTTTTGTTTGCTTTGACATTTTTCTAACATTATCATAATAATTACATCAAATTAGATACCAATTCAGAAAACAATTATTTTCTATATAAAATTGAAACAAGATACATAGAATAATAGTATATGCATTGGAGTAAAGAATCAAACAAAGAAAAAAAAGAAAAAAAAACAGTTTTACTAATTTTACACGCTGAAACCAGGATATAAAGTGTTATGTTCCATTGTAATGTTTTAGAAGAAGATAGGAAAGAAAAGAGTAATAAAGAGAGAGAGATCGAGAGAGGGACAAGAAAGAAAAGGAAGGTTGGAGAGGTGTCGAAGGATTTGACAAGGGCTTATCGTTCATTTTTGTTTCATTTTTTTTGCATAGACTATTAACAGCAAGTACATTGGTACTTTATTATTATAATCAATTTACATTTATAGGGATTGAACGGCGTTTGTTTAATTTTCATGCCGGTATGAACGCAAATCGGTTACATCCATATTGCATGAAGCCCGCTAGTCTAAACAGATTGACAAAATAAATGTGTCAATAGGATTAGCTTTAGTGCAGCCTTGGAACATTAACGATTTTCGGTGTCTAGTTAGTTGTTATCTGTTTGTTAAATTTAATAAAAGTAAGATCTGTTTGAGAGAT